TCTGTATTTAATAAAATAACAACAAAAAATTCAAGGCAAGTTTGTAAAAATGGTAAAATTCATGAAAATAATACAAAAACACTGCAATAATAATAATAATAATAATAATAATAATAATAAAAAAAGACGTGCTCCCAGGAATACACTATGCCCTCCCTTTAAAGAGGACCTGAACTGTTAAAGCTGTGTCCAAGCAAAGCAGGCAGAGGACAAAGGTCTAGTCACTGTCTGTGGGCTCCCTGTAGCTGACCTTTTCCCCATCCTATCAGCATGTTCCTTGTTAACACATTAGCACATCAACCAGAAAAACTACCCCTCCACTTGCTACCGAGGTTGTGATACACCAGGTACCATGGTGCATATTTGGTGGCTCTGTCCGGTAGCCCGTAGACTCTGGATACGAGTTTATAATTTAATTAGATGACTTCTTCATACATCCCAACCTCGTAATCCTTGTGAGGCGTTACTTGGTAAATCGGTATCCTCTTTATTTATTACAGAGCAGAAACCTGTTCAACATATCTTCATGGCCACTAAATTAACAATAGCTAGAGCTTGGAAAACACCTACTTTGAGCTATGTTGCTGTTAAAAATCGCCTGACAGATATCATGATTAACGAAAAGCTGACTGCACTAGTATTAGACACACACTCAACATTTTTATAAATTTGGCAACCTTGGATTTCCTATTCACGGCCTCCTGACTTCCATATTTCATTATTGTCCCTCTAACAACTATCGGTTGCTTTTCTCTGGGATGCCTTTCCTTTTTTTCTCTCCTCTTCTCTTCTTCCCCCTTTTCCCTTCTTTCCTCACTACTCTTCTGCTATCTTTTCTTCTTGCTCGTCCAGGTAAACGTTATGGCCTTTGGCTTTCTATAAATACTGATGAACCAGATTTTTATGACCACCCCATCAGTACTTTGTTGGGCCACAAGATGACTCCACGAGATTACTTTGTTGGGCCGCCTCGTGACTCCATGAGATGTTGAAAGGTGATGCGAGGAATCTGACGCTGCACTGTTACCCTTCTGTTGTCTTGTACCAGTCTTGCCACTCTCCGTTCTGCCCTAACATTGACTAGTCGCTGACGGCCACAATTCGCACGTTCAGACCCAGATTTTCGGCTGACAGTCCAGTCTTTAAACACTTTAACAACAGCTGCTCTTGAACATTTACCGAATTCTGCTGTTTTGCTGATACTCGCTCCATGGCTCCGAGCGCCAACAATCATCCCACGTTCAAAGGCTGTTAAATCGCGTTGTTTCCCCGTATCTTCAGAAACAAATCACTTCTACTGTCGTGGTAAACAACCTGCCACCCTATTTATAATGGTCTGGCCCTCTAGCAACTTCAGCGCAAAATTATAGCTAATTTGACTATAAACATCAGGTGGTCATAATAATCTGGTCACTCAGTGTATATCTATGTTCCTTTTTCCGCATTTGACTCTGATATTTTCCATTGGTCTTTTACTGGTTTCATTATTGACTATACCCACGTTGTTTCATGTTGCTGTATACAACTGTATATGCGCTGCATCTTGCTATGTTTCTATGCGACTTTAATAAAACTTTTGTAACAGAAATGTGGAGCTTTCATTTTTTCCTGATTCTTATGGATCCTTTTACTGTTTACCTGTGTTGTGTTTGTATGTATCTATGAAAACCATATGATGTATTACAGATACAAGACAGATACAGCCGGTATAATTCTTGATAAGAACCATCAGTAACAATAGACTATTTCCCTGCGGGTGGGGGTAAACCCAGGATCAGTGTGGTTGGAAATCCCCGGCCCTTCCTTGTTGTGGAGATGTACTGTGATGTCTGGAAGCAGACCCTGGACTATAATAAACCACATAGAAGTCATCAGAGTCCACCAGAGCGGCTATACTAACCTTGTAAAGAAAATTAAGACACATCATGGGGGACAGACACAAAGAGCTGTGAAAGATGGGAAGGCCATTGAACTGCCAGTATGGGGAAAGGAAGAGCTCCCATATCATACTGTGATGCATTTCTTTTTTCTAGTGGCTTCATGGAGTGTGTTATTTTAGTGATTTTTGGTTGATACATTTTTAAACTTAAGATATTTATTGTTATACTTTGTATACATTTAACAGAAAAACATGCCATAGATGACAAAGGATTCCCTGCAAAGAGACATTGCTTGCCTTAAAGGAGAACTATGGGGTTAAGGCTTTTCCCCATAGTTCTCCTTAGGGTAACGGGAGGACACAAACTAGCGTCCTCCCGTCACCCTAAGCTCAGTATACCGCAAGCTATGGCTCGCGATATACGGAGACACCGCAGCTGAAGCGGATCCCGACAATTATGTCTGGGTCTGCCCATCTGCGTGAGTGACAGCTGGCTCTGCCTATCTAGAGGCAGAGCCAACTGTACCCGCCCCCTCCCCGTCTGTTCTGCCAGTCAGCGCTGGAGGATCGGAGCGGGGAGGGGGGAATCCAGTCCCTACCCTGTCACGGCTCTCTCCAGAAGTGAGCGAACGCCAGTATGTGTTCGCTCACTTCCCGATCTACTGAGCTGACCTGTGACAGTCTCATTGTCACCGGTCGGCTAGAACTATGAGGTGAGTGAAAAGCACTCACCTCATAGTTCTCATTTAAAGCTTAAGCTGGCCATACGCTAATCGTGTTTCTTTCTCATCTGAGCCTGATGAAGGGGACCCTGCGTGGCCCCGAAAGCGCTTGCAAACGAGAGACAGCATACGTCATTAAATGAACACTTCTTTGCTGTAATGATGGGTCTGGGGTGCTGGTGACATTCTTCGACTATCTACATGTTGGCGGCGCCAACCGCAGTCATTTCAAGCACCGCTTGTATATTCCTATGGAGGTACCAGTAAGGAGTGCAGCAAGGATCTGTTTTCCTTTTGTCTTTCTCATTTAGGTCTCGTTCACACGGGCGGCACGGGGGCGGTCAAACCAAGCGGTTGGTCTTTGGTTTACAGCCTACCCCCGGTTACCTGCTGCAGTCCCATCACTATGGCTGAACACCGCTGTATACATTGTGTGACTCTGTACTCATGTAGCTGGTGTTTGGCCACAGGCTTACATCAGGCTCAGCAATACAATCTTATCTGGAGTCACCTCATCGCCAGCATAGACTTTCTTGAACTGTCTCTCCTTCCCGTGTTTCCACCTCCATCACCCCCATTGTAACCTGACACGGGGAATGTTGCATTAGTTCGCTGATCTCACTGATAAAATATATATTGACTTCCCTGTCTCCTGCGATGTAACATCTGAGACCTGTAGGGGTGGATCAGAGAGATTTTCCTGGAATAAGCTTCAATAACTTCTCTAAACACTCCATTTTTTCCAATATTCGGCTCGGGTTCTGGAATTGCAGGGGAGGGGGCGCAGCTCGGGTTCTGGAAATGCGGGGAAGGGGGCGCAGCTCGGGTTCTGGAAATGCGGGGAAGGGGGCGCAGCTTGGGTTCTGGAAATGCGGGGAAGGGGGCGCAGCTCGGGTTCTGGAAATGCGGGGAAGGGGGCGCAGCTCGGGTTCTGGAAATGCGGGGAAGGGGGCGCAGCTCGGGTTCTGGAAATGCGGGGAAGGGGGCGCAGCTCGGGTTCTGGAAATGCGGGGAAGGGGGCGCAGCTCGGGTTCTGGAAATGCGGGGAAGGGGGCGCAGCTCGGGTTCTGGAAATGCGGGGAAGGGGGCGCAGCTCGGGTTCTGGAAATGCGGGGAAGGGGGCGCAGCTCGGGTTCTGGAAATGCGGGGAAGGGGGCGCAGCTCGGGTTCTGGAAATGCGGGGAAGGGGGCGCAGCTCGGGTTCTGGAAATGCGGGGAAGGGGGCGCAGCTCAGGTTCTGGAAATACGGGGAGGAGGGGCGCAGCTCGGGTCCTTCTTCTCATTGCATTTTTCACATAACTTGGATGTGTATTGAATATTAAATGACAGCGCTAATCTTTCAGGATCTTTGATTGCTAGAGTGAAGCAATGCCCAAGCATCAGTAAAATGATGGAATGCAATGAAAATGAATCTGCCTATAGTTTGCCTTCCCTGGTTCCTCCTTTCCTTCCTCATCAACATGCTAATGAAATAGAAAAAAACAACAACTTTGTTTTCATTACAGACCTTATTTTAGACCCAGTAATGTCATCATTGGGTCTCTAGGCTTCCCTATGCAATGCAGGTAGATCATGGCTGGTGGGAGGAGCTGGCAGGGTACTCCTCCCCAGAGACCTCAGCCCTGATGCAGGCAGTGGGTTGCCCCTTGGAAAGAGTTGTGCAAATACTGAAATGCCTTGATGAGTGGGCTGCAGTCTGGAGCAACTGTCTGCCAATTGTGCTCCTACATTGTCACATGCACCCCTAAGGGTGACTACAAGCAGCAGCCTTGCCCATTGCACAGGCATGGTCCATCATTGTTGCAGTGAGTACATGTGGACAGGAAATGGCTCAGAGGGGCTGAAGGAGATCAGCAGAACTTGAAAATAAAAATAGTCAGAATAAGGATTTCATGGGAAACAAAATGCTGCATTATTATTATTATTTTTTTTGATACACAGTGCTTTAGGAAGCCAAGGGTTCTTTATAAACAACTAACAGAGCCGTTCACCCGGCGAATCTCTGTGAATGTTCTTTATATGCAAACAGAGGCAAGAATGACTGTTCTTGGAATATTTTATTTTCAGGTCAAATGTAATGTAATACCACATTATGACCACTAGACGGAGCTGCATTGCATAGGGAATTATATCCCATGCTCCTCTTCGCCATCTAGTGGACATATTGCAGTATTACATTACATTTGACCTGCACAAAAAATATACTTAGAACATTCTTTTTTTTTTTTTGCAGCTATTCGCACAGAACAAATGTTCACATGGTGAACGGCTCTGCCAATTGTTTATAAATACACCTCTGAAGGTCATCTATTTAAGATTTACATCCTGTTGACATTTAAATATTCTGTCCTGGTTCTGAACTGAAACATTTAATAACATTTCCTTTTTTCTCTCTCCAGATCCATCTTCCACTTACATCCGACAGCTGGAGACCAAAGTGAAGCTCCTGGAAGATGACAATAAACTCCTGTCACAGGTGAGACTTTGCCACCTTCCTCCTCTAGCGCAAAGACTTCTTGCTGAACCGCAGCTCTGTGGCAGGCGCACTCCGCGTACTAAATCACTTGGGCGCCGTTCTACGGATTACTTTCATTAAACCGAAGAAAATTGATTTTTCTCCCTGTGTCTGATCTAATTTCTCCTTCTTAGCAAAGATAATTTCCTGATAACGGCCCTTGTAATCGCTGGAATAATTGCGTGTAATTGGCGATTTATTCCGGAGATCTGGGCAGACAATGTCATAAGGACTTGTGTTGTTGCCGCGCAGTGAGACATTCTCTGGTGACGTCCGCTATCGGGAGGGGGGAATTAATCAAAACTGGTGCAGACAAAATCTGGGCAACCAATCAGCTTCTCTCTTTAATTTTTTAATCTTAACTGAACAAACTGAAGAGAGAAGCTGATTGGTTGCCAAGATTTCCTCTGCTCCAGTTTTGATAAATTCTCCTCCATGTGTTTTCTTGTTCGGCCCCAAGGGCTTAATGAGAAAAAGCACTCGATTGCCCCCATCCACGCTAAAGAGCATGGATGAGAGCAGAGTTGTCACCAGACTGGGTGTCACCCAGCGCACACATCATTACACATGCACACCTCTTCTCTCGTGCCGCTGTCAGGCTCTCGGTCCATGACCCAGTGCCTGACTTTTCCCATTGGTGTAGGGCGGGGGAAAGCAACCTCGGCATGCCATCTGTGATGAAACTACAAATCTCGTCATGCCTGTTGCTGTCAGTCTTGCAATGCCTCATGGGACTTGTAGTTCTACAAACCTGGCATGCCAAGTTTCCCTCCCCTGGTGTAGGGTGACACGGTAGTCAAGGTCGTGGTTAATTTTGCCATACTTCACTTTAAACTAAAACAGTGGTTCAGGGAGCATGAGATTTTCACACATGGATTGTCCACCACAGAGTCCAGACCTTAACCCCATTGAGAATCTTTGGGATGTGCTGGAGAAGACTTCAAGCAGGGGTCCGCCTCTCCCATCATCACTACAAGATCTTCATAAGCTTATTGAAACAATGCCACTGCGAATGTGTGCCATAATCAAAGCTAAAGGCTGCCCAATGAAATATTAGAGTGTGACTTTTTTTTGGCCAGGCCATGTATTTTTAGCTTGCTAAGTATTGATGGTCTAAATATTTGACCCATGTTTAGCTGTTTCTCCTTCCATTGAGATCCCTGACCTAGGCTTGCCGGTGACAGTATTGACAGAATAATCAGATAAACGACAGATGCTTAGTAATAAATCCGATGTGATGTGATTCATTAGGATCACCGGTGTGAAGCACTGCCATATATCACACAGTTATTCCAATGGTGCTATCGGGTATTTATCACTTTATGGTTTATGGTCTGTTTATAGGTCCAGCCGGGCTTGAATTGCCCATGCATATTTAACTAGAGATCTCGTCTGCTTCCAGGAGCTGGCCAGAGATAGGACGCTGCCCTTCCCGCTCTGAGCTGGGATTAAGTCATTAAGTAATAAATAACACTGAAAAACTATCCGAATGTTTTTCATTAACAGTGCTTTGCGGAGATTTGTGACGCCACTGTAATTCAGTCATTGATCGATACTCCATTCATCTGTGTGTCTGGGAGTGGAAGGGTGGGACAGTCACACCAAATGACATAATGGAACAAGGGGTTGAGTGTCCAATCACTAAGACTGGCCATACGCAGATTGAATTTTAGTCTGATTCCTGCTGAATTGGGCCAAATTGAGCCATGGGTGCCCGTTCTGGCTACACCTAGCTTCAGCTGAAAAATTGAAGAAGCCCGGGTAGACACTGACAAAGGTTGAACTCAATGGACCTGTGTCTTTATTCAAGCTCAAATACTATGTAATTGTCGGCCAAACAGTGATTGAATCCAATCATATGCGGGTACTGTCAGATATCCAGACATCCTAAAAATGTATACCACTGCCAAATGCATTGTTAGAATTCCAATCCTAAAGGAGGTTTTGCACCAGATCAAATATAGATCCATTTAGTTATAATTTGCTTTGGGCCCATTCAAGTCCCCATTTCTATTCTTATAAGCCCTGATAAGGGGAAGTTGTGTTGCCTGTGAGACACATTGGCCTATTGAACAGCTTTGGGATGAATTGGAATGGTGACTGTGAGTCAGGTCTTCTCATCCAACATCAGAACCTGACCTCACAAATGTACTTTTGGCTAAATGGGCTCAAATTCCCCCAGACACACTGTAAAATGTTGTGGAAACCCTTCCCGGAAGAGTGAAGGCTGTTATAGCCTCAACCTCGGGGGGCAATGACATAATAATGCCCATGATTTTGGAATGAGATATCCAACAAGGTGACATAGGTGTGATGGTCAGAGGTCCACGCATTTTTTGCCACCATTTTGTTTATTCTTAATTTAAATCGAAAAGGATTGAAGTCATAAAATATATTGCTGCAGTCAAAAGCCTGTTATGTATGGCTAGCTTGAAGACATCAGTAGCATATGATGATACGCGATTGGTTAATTTTAAATGGCCTACAAATTCTTTCCCCTTCTGTCATTTTTCTACCCTTTTTTTCCCCGTTATCTTTCCTTTCTTTAGAACTCATAAACTTCCTTTAAAAATCTTCAACATCCAACCTACTTCGAGGTGTGTCAGATGTCTAGTCCCCATCAAGCTTTGTGGTTCCTTCTTCCGGCCCTACATTGCTGTTGTGTCCTGTGATGCTGTAGGGACCGATGGCTGAAACCACAGAACTCTGCGGGGGAGGCAAGCATCCGGAACTCCCGGAAGTGTTGGAGGCAGACAATTTTTCAGCGTGTTTATCGGTGGAGTTGGGCAACATGAACAGTGGGATGGACGAGAAGTTGTAATTTTCTTTGGAGGCTGAGCTTTTTTATTTATTTTTTAATAGTGACAGTCGCTTTCAGAGCGTCAATACTCACCTAGGTGTGAATCTGCTCATATTCCTCCCCTCTCGATCCCGATCCCTCCCCTCATCCTGCTTTTTTTCCTTTGTTCTTTTCATTATCTGTCAATTTCTCCTCTCCTCTTTTCCGCCTCATCGCCTTCTCCCTCTCCCCATCTCTCTCCCTCTCCCCATCTCTCGGGTTTGATCTTTATATTTGGTCTAGTCCTCCTCTGAGATTTAAATACATCCTTGATTACCCTTGCATCCACACTGTAAAATGCAGCCATCCTGAAAGTTTTGTCAAAAGCACCTAAGTGGCTTTATCATTAAAAAAAAGAAAGAAACACTTAGTAGCACATAAAAAGCTTTCAGCGCCATGGAAAGGAAATGATGACTTGATTATTTCTCCGTTTGTTTTTCGGTTGCTGGCGTCTTCCTCCTAATGCCATTGGCATTCTATGGAGACGATGGGATGAATCAGAACTATCAGGGGAAAAAGACATTCAGCCACTGTAGCGGCAGGGTGGAGGGATGGCGAGGCAAAGATAAAATATTACACTTAGAGGGTAAAAGTGTGTCAATAAATGGCAATAAGCCAAAATAAACGGGTCTCCTTAATACACTATAATATGGTGTTTACAATATTAGATAAAAATGCAATAGAGTGACAGAAATCAAATTTGAGCAACAGTATGTATCAGCTCAAGCAACGGGGATGTGATACCTAAAGCAATTTCTGCACCACGCCTCTTGGACAGGCCTGGCTAGCCCGGGGCAATTTTTATAATTGCCAGGTTTGTGCACTGGCACCTATTTATTTTACGCACTATTTTATGCACGACTGCACCTTTAACTCCACAGATTGGCGGAGGGTGTGGGTACCTTCGGGGCTCGTCCTGATGTTAGGGGGGAGGTTTTGTGGCCTTCACGAGCTTCTCTGCCTTCCCCCACCTGGGGACTCTCTCTTCAGCAGAGCCTCTTACTTAGTAGTTGAGGGTCCTACTTCGGTAGGACCCTGAGGATCGGGGTCCACTGGCTTTCAGGTTTCCTTACCCCTGTCAGGAGCCTTGCGCCCTGGGGGGTTCAGGATTATCTAGGCCTTTCCTCTTTGGAGGAGGACCAAAGCACCCTTGTGCACTTTTTTATTGTGTGTTGTGATTTCACGATTCACATTTTTTGTTCACTAGGGAAGTCGTTTACGAAGCACGCACCGCGGACAAACACCCCAAAAAACGGTTATTTGATAGGTGAATAATCAATCACTGTTACCTCAAATACATGGACCTGGAAGGTTCTCCTGCAGAGAATATTTGTTTGCTGAATGTCAGATTTACTGCATTTTATAGATAAGCCCCTAAGAGTACATTATTATATTATTATTATACGGGATTTATATAGCGCCAACAGTGTGCGCAGCGCTTTACAATATAAGGAAGACATTACAATTACAATACAATTCATGACAAGATGGTAAGGAGGGCCCTGTCCCTGAGAGCTTACAATAAAAAAAAACATTGAGGTAAAGGGATAAATAAACCCAAGAACAAATTAATAATATATTACAGCATACCAGTCCTTGGACCTGATGCCTGCATTAGTTTTCATTTTTCAGGCTGAGAACACTTTTAGCGAGTGCAGAGAATACCCCTTGATCTCGCCTAAAATTCAGTGTCCTTGTCATTTCGTGTGAGATGAACTGCAAGCAAAAAAGTGCTATCTTTAGTGTGGAAATGACTAAACCCATCAGTGCCCATGTAATGGAGATTAACAAAGGCAGGCAAGTCCAGCCTGGGTGACAACCACGGCTCCCTGTGTAGATAAAATGGAGAAGTGAGTGTAGCCACATGGGACAGGAAGTGTGTTATTTGCAGGATTAACAGGTAAAAATGCAAGGATAAAAGCCTGAAAGTAGAAAACTAACACAGTCATCACATCTAAGGACTGGCAAGCTGCAATATATAACAATTTTGTGTTTTTTTTGGTCTGGATACACTGTAAGGACTTGTTCAAACCAAATGTGGTGTGTTCCAGAGCAACTTTCCACTGCAAACACATAAAATAGAGCAAGCAGCAATTTTTGCGTTTGCAGTGGAACGGAACAC